TCCAACCACAAACATCAACTTGCTATCAGCAATCTTCTCAGAGTGAGCCTCTGAGTAAAACCAAAACACGGAGCTCTTCTAGCTGTTAAAAAAAAGAAGAGCTAACACTGTCCCAGCTAAAACTGGAACATTCACTTAGGAAGGTTTTGGTTGCAGCTGAATATCACTGGGTGAGTTCTGCAGGTGTGATCCAGGACTAGTCAGTGCATGGTCAGAAGTGTTTTATGTTTCTGCTTTACTTTGCATTTATCTGCAAGCTGCACTCACTGGTTTAAGGTAGTGGGTATTCTTTGGGGTTTATGTTCCAGAAGGATGCTTTAGTGCATCAGTAAGGAGTAGAAAATAATGCAAACATACTATAATAGCATTGTGCATCCTTCCCCAACAGAACAGCGCATCTGGATGAGGGATACTGAGTCCAGTGACTTCACTGCAGGGATGTTGGCCCCTAGCCAACAAAGTAGAATCATAGAATCATAGAATCATAGAATGGTTAGGGCTGGAAGGGACCTTCAAAGGTCATCTAGTCCAACCCCCCTGCAAGGAACAGGGATATCTCCAACTAGATCAGGTTGCTCAGGGCCTTGTCCAAGCTGGCCTTGAATGTCTCCAGGGATGGAGCATCCACCACCTCTCTGGGCAACCTGTTCCAGTGTTCTACCACTCTCATAGTAAAAAATTTTTTCCTAATATCCAACCTGAACCTACCTCCCTCTATTTTAAAACCATTACCCCTTGTCCTATCATAACTGGCCCTCCTGAACAGCCTCTCCCCATCTTTCCTGTACACGCAAGGGGATTAGTCACCTGCTTAGGATTAATCGTATAGCTAAGTCTTTATCTGGGGCAGGTCCGTTTGCAGGTGATAAATCTGTCTGCAGGTAACCTATGAAGGTAGTGCAAAACTGAGGATTATTTCCTAAGGGTATTAAGCTTGCGAGAAAGGGAATGGCTTTAAACCAGCCATTGACTCTTCAGCTTGTCTGTGAGGTTTTCAGAGCTGGTTTGGGATTCAGTATTGATGGTTGCAGACCTCAGCCAGTGTCAGCTGCAGACTCCGAGGGATGTTAGCCAAATACACGATACCTCCTTAGTATCACATACCTCTGTGCTATTGTGCTACCGATAATGGTGGGAAGGTTTCTGCTATTGGTCTAAAGGATGCTCTCTTTGCTTTCCACAGGCTGTGCTGCCCATCTGACCCAGGGAAGAAGCTGGTAGGAGAGCCATTTGCCCCCATGTTGGCTATACCTTTTGACATGTTTCCTCATACTGTTCATTGTGAGCTGGTGCTGCTGTTCACCCGCTGACAAGGAGATAAGTATGCCAGTTCTGAGAGCTTGGGAAGCAACCTCCTACTGTTCTGAAGACCAGTGTTGATGTAGTTAGGATTTTATCTTATTTTCTTGAAAATTGTATAAAAATAAATAATTTTGCTTTTGCTCTTACTTTGGGTTGTCTAACTACACTTTTCTGTACAGAAACACTCAGATTTCTGGGCTGAAAAAGTCCTCTGTAGCATTTCATCACCCTTCCCTCCCTGCAAACCTCTTCTTGGGCTGCTGGTTAAAGCAGCCTGGGAAATACTCTCTCCCTGGCGTTGTGAGTTTTCACCATCAATATATGAATACATATGAATATAATATGTGAATATATGTAATATATGAATACTAAAATCCACTGTACTTTCTAATAGTGCCATGCCATTAGTTCTCTGCTTGCTTCAAGGATATTTCAAGTGTTTTTCAAGTTGATAGTGAACTTAATATGAAGAAACCATAGGAACTAGAAATCCTCATGCTTCACTGGGAAAATAATGACTTTTAGGATCAGGGAAATATTTCCTTTTTAAACTTCCAAAACCAATATTGAATTGCTGTCAGTTGCGTGGGTAAGTTGGAGGCAATGAGAAAAAAATTACTTTTTTTTATAAAACAAAATAGAGAACATATTTCAGTGTATCTTCTTCCACACCTGCCCTCCCTTCTCCACTAATGCTTGTTGATACCTAAATATGAAATGCCCTGTGAAAAGGTCAGCAGCAACAAGTTATTTCCTCATCAGGTTGCTCTGCAGTAGCCAATTCAAAAATCTGATGTGTTTTGTATCTGTCCTGCCATGCTCACTGACTGGTAAGCTGTGAGCCTCAATGTTATACGAAGTTCTCTCCAGCTCTTCATGGAACTGCTACAACCTGGAGGTAGGTCTGAGTAAGCAGAGTTCCCTTGTGTTTTGTGAACTCCAGGGTTTTTTGAGGGCTCCTTTTATTTTTAATTTTTACTTTTTATGTTGTATTGAAGTTACCCTTTGATGTATCCTGGTCATCTGGGTCAGACCAGTTGCAGAACATGTTTCTATAGTCAGGCTATTAAATTTGACTCTTTCCTCTGAAAGAGGAGTTTCCTGTCTGATTTGGGTGAATCAAGGCTGATAAACTCCCAAGGAAACAGGAAGAGCTGCCTATATTTTTTCAGACTTTTAACTCCAGTCTTACGGAACCCTGAGCTTGGAATAATAATGACAACCACCAGTTCTCAAGCCATGGGGGCTTAAAATACATGAGTTTAGGACTTGAGACTTATACACCAGAAAGGAAGGTCATGGGGGAGATTCCTGACAAGCACAGGAAGCGTCACTTTTGTACTACCCCAGGAGTGTAAGATTTATGCAGTGTTACAGACTCTTGTTTTCAGTTCATAGCGAGGGATGCAGTTTTCTAGCAGTTCTGTATTGTAAAATTATACCTTGGCTTCTCACTGTGAGATCTGAATGGATTTCTGCTTAGCCTGGCTATGCTTTTGTCAAGAGGAAAATTGCTGCAAAGTAGAGGGAGAAAGATAATGACTTTACATCTGAAAGTAATAGATCAGGAAACCTTTCCACTAGTTTCTGGAGAGCTGAACATACAGGACAGGCTTTATCTGCAATGGGAGAGAGTGGCCCTTTTGGGAATCAAGTTCCAGGACAGCCACAGGGGCAAGACATCATTTTTGCTTTTCTGGGGCAAATACATTAAGCAATATGTTGTCTGGTGTGTATTAGCGTCTGATCATCTGAAAGTGAAAGCTGCCTATGTACAAGAGACCTCTGACCACTTTTTCTCCATAGCATGTTACTCCCGTGCCCTCTGCTAACTTGTCCTCAATTTCTCACTAGTGAGCAATTGTGCTATGCATTTGGCTGCCATCCTGCATCCCTGGAACTGGCTCAGTTTTGCTTTTTTGTGGGTAATTAATGGAACAGGCAAGGAAACAGAGGATGACTTAACGGTACGAGCAGTGGGAATGCTTATCGCTCAGGTGCTAGAGCTGCCTGGCTCCGGCTGCACGGCTGCAGGGCATTAGGACCCGGAGGTTGCTGAGTGGAGGAGGCTGAATCCCCCTCCCGCTGTCATCCTCACTGCCTCTGCAGCTTTATTCCTCATCTCCTTCAATGGTGACGGACTACCTGCCGCCTGGGCTGGCAGCCAGGACCGGCTCCCAGCAGCTCCATGGCATCTCCCAGGACTATCACCATCGTTGCCCTCTCGGTGGCCCTGGGGCTCTTCTTCATCTTTATGGGGACCATCAAACTGACCCCTCGGCTCAGCAGAGATGCCTACAATGAGATGGTGAGTATGGCATTGGCAGCATGAAGGGAGCCATATTAGGGCTCTCTCCTCTCAACCTTGCAGCAGAAGCAGTGTTTGCAGCAGGGTACACGGAGGGTGACCGTTCTGGAGCCCTGAGCAACGGGAGGGAGAGGGAAGAAGCTTATCTGTCTCCTTATTTGATGGATATGGAGAGAAACAAATAATGCACAGTGCCGAGGATATCCTGGCAGCCTTTGCCTGGGCTCTGTCTGAGCCTATCCATGGAGAAACCTCTTGGATAAGGACGGGGAGGGGAGGTGAACAGGATGGGGTAGCACAGCACACTGATGCCTGCAAAAATATGAGGACACAAGGATCTCTGAAAAGCAAGGTCTGAAAAGTGCCATATATGTAGCAGGCAGGTACAGCTGATCCCTGGGAGAATACCTACCCCCTGGACTGTGGGTAGGAAAAGCAGATGCCGGCTTTGGCAGCGAGATGATCATCCTCCAAATTCTGTGCTTCAAAGCAAGGGTAAGACACTGACTGTACCTACGTCACCAGACTTGTGCAGGGATTAATTCATGACCATGAAACACTTTTAGATTCTTAGCTGGCAGAAGAAGATGTTATTAATAGTCACTTTATTATTCCCTTTAGCCTGTGAAATGAGCCTCTCCTCCTCTTGCCTAGTGGGAAAGGGGTGGGGAGAGGAAGAAGTCACTGTATGCATTTCTCAGCTAGTTTATGCTCCTCTGCCCAGGGCTAACCCTGCAATACAGCTTTGCTGGCTGCAAGCTGCAGGCAGGTGAGGGACTGGCTGCCACGTTTTGCTTCCTTGTCTAGGTTTGTTTATTCTCCTGCTGCCATCCCTGCTGCCCCTGCTAAAAAGCAATGGTATAATTTTTGTGCCCCTGAAAAAGTAGTTCTGGAAGTTTCCAGCACATTCTGTTTTCTCCCTTTGCTCCATCTGCCCAGTTGCTTTTCCCTAGCTCTCAAATAACATCTGAATTGCAGTGCCTCGTCTGCAGCCCAGTACAGGGATCTCACAGAGAAGAATCACCAAGAAGTAACTCTAGAGCAAGAGACTGAGATAAAATGCCCAGAAAACAAAGCTATTAAGCTTTTGCTACATAAGGGACAGAAAAAAGCACTGAGACTTTAGAAGCATTGCAAGGTCCGTGCTCTGTAAAATATTTCGCTTCTCTGGCCCTTTCTGCTTTATCAAGAGTCAAGCCTCCATGTACGAATGATCTCCGTTTTTACAAAGGGAAAGCAGAGACACTCACGTACTCCACAGCACCATCATACTTAATAGCGCATATTGTAACATGTTCACGGCTCACTAGGCTTTCATGCTTTTGCTGGGCTGCATACCAGTGTGGCCTGTCATGTAATGGAGACAGTGAAAACCTGATCTTGCCAATCAATAAGCATGGCTTCTTTCCCTGCGCAAATAGAGAACCTCTGTCATTTACCCACAACACCAAACCTGCAGTTTTTCATTCAGCAAAAAACCAGACACACTAGTTTGTCTATTAAAATACTTCAAATACCAGAGTACTGTAGGACATGCTGATAGTACATTTCTTTGTAAAGGTGTATTTTTTATAACTGTTTAAAAATACACTGCTCTCAGAGGTTTTATTCACTGAAGGTTTAAAATGCATCCTTACAATGCATACACTTAAGAGTAAATGTGTCATGAGATCTTCAATTATTTAGTAGGAAAAATGACAGTGCTGTATATTTTTCAACTACATCTGCAGTGTCAGCTCCTCTTAGAAGGAAGCAGAAAAATTTAGAGAAGCAAGGAAGCTCTGTATGCCTGTAGTGCGGGTTTCCAAAATCACATGGAAGTAAATCTACAATCTGATCAGCAACTGTGAGAGCTTAACAACTCTTTATGTGAGATTTGGCTTCCATTTCCCTCTCCCTGATTAGAAAGCAGAGAACATAATAGCAAGAATATCTGCAGAGATAGTATACCCAAGTGTAAGCAGAAATAATTTCAGTGTCTCCAATTACTAGGAGCTTTATTAAAATATATAAAAAAAGGGAAATGCTTGATTGAAAAAGAAAAATAAAACACACAAAACCAATAAACCTACGAGCATCTAACATTCAAATGCAAGAACTTGAACATGTGTAAGCACAAAGGTTGTTTCTTCCCTAAACAATGAGGCAGCTGTGTAAGGAGGCTGAGTCTTCCAACTTGTACTGCATCTAAATCAAGCATAGACCAGGGAGCAAAGGATGTCAAATGTCAGCTTGCTTTCATCTGAGGAGAAAAAGGATCATAAAGATATGTAAGCACAGGATAGGGTTGGTGAAGCTCAGCTACGATGTATAGTCCCATGCTAAGACTGTACTGCCCATAAACACTGGGATGGTGTTAAGTTGCTTTGAGGTAGAAATAGATTTCTGGTATTTCTTGCTGTGCCTTGGCTTTACAGGGACTAGATGCAAAAGAGAGAGGGACTTTTTTTTTAACAACATGATTCTGCATTGCTAATTCTAGCAATTGTAACTTCAGATTTCAGGAGAAGGTACACCTGGCCTAGTCCTAGCTCCAAAGACAGGTGCTAGATTGCAGAACTGTTTTCCAGTGAGGAGACAACAGCTTAAAAAGAGGGAATTCCACATTGATGGTGTCAATATCCCTCCAACAGAAGCTTTAGGGGTACAGATTGGATATTGTGCCAGAGGGGTCTGTGACGAATGAAGTGATCTTTAGGTCATATTGACATCAATCTATTTCATTGGAGGTCACCTTTGCCATTATTCTCTCACATTATGGTGTTCTCCACTATTACTGCTTGATTTCAGAAACGAGCATATAAAAGCTACGTGCGGGCCCTCCCCATGCTAAAGAAGATGGGAGTCAGCTCCATCCTTCTCCGCAAGAGCATTGGTGCCCTAGAAGTGGTGTGTGGCATTGTCATGACACTGGTGCCTGGTCGCCCCAAAGACGTGGCCAACTTTCTCCTCCTCCTCCTTGTGCTGGCTGTGCTCTTTTTCCACCAGCTAGTGGGGGATCCACTCAAGCGTTATGCCCATGCCCTAGTCTTTGGGATCCTGCTTACCTGTCGTCTCCTGATTGCCCGCCAGCCTGAGGAGCAGCTGCCAGAAAAGAGGATCCTCTCAGTCAATGGGGATGAGCAGCCAATCAACCATGAAGCAGCTCCTGAGAAAGGCAAAATGAAGGTATCCTAGTTGAGTGTGTGTGAGAAATACAGACCCTCGAGGCAGCTCTCTCCAAAATCACCCAGAAGATTTGTTTTTTATTTACCTATTTATATTTATATTTTTTGTCTGTCTAAATAAAGTTGCACTTGGGGTCTGAGACACACATGGTATGTCTACACTGTAGTCTTGCTTTTGCTGCTGCCCTGTAAGGTAGAAAAATACAAGCTAGCTTTAACCAGGACAGCTTGGAGGCAGTTAGCAGCCTGGCTGAAGTAGTGCTGGCCTCAGCAGGAGCCGCAAAACCAGCCTGAGAGCATAGGCGAAGACTTGGGCAGGTAGTCATGCTAACTCGGCATTGCTGCAGAGGGGAAGTTAGTCCTTGAGCATCAGCCTCAAGCCCCATAGGAGTTGAAACCTACCCTGGATGCACTTCTGCTGTGTGGCAGTCTCGGCAACAGCAGCTGGGTAGAACATAACCATAGTGTCCCTGTACTGGCTTGTGCAGCCCCATCTACAAATCTGTTTCCTTTTCCATAGTCGAGGGGGGAAAGGACCTTACAGAGCATAAAAGTGCTGTTTGTTGTGTTTGAGAATGGGATCCTTTAGTCTTTGCTGTCTCTGTGCCCAGTCCTTTCTTTCAACTGGTTACCCAGGGAAAACATGGAGGCACTATTTGCCTCTTCCTCAATTTCCACACTTTACAGAGGCTCTGAAACTGAGACAGTGGCCTAGTAACAGTAATTTTTTGCCTGCTTCACACAAGGCAATGGCATCTCTTTATCCCTCTTGGCAGAGAGTACGGATTCCCTCATGAGGGGGTGAGGAGCAGAACTGCCCAAAGAACTCCAAAATATCTGTCTGCTGTTGGAAAATAGCATCATGCTCCCTATTTCCTTGCAAGAAAAACATTCTTTTCCACAACTACTGCAACTTTACAGAATTGTCAGTTATTGTTGATAGATGAGGTTCTGAACGTGTCCAGGTACCTCATAGTTCATCCCACATACAGGTTCAGTGCGCTAGGTAAAGTCTTGTCACCAGAGCCTGAATCCATCTGTTGTATCTGAAATCTTACAGAGCGTCATAAGAAGCATGTGTTACCTCTGAGTTTGTTTTTCTTGATGTATGTCTGTTTTCAGTTTTTCCTTCTTTTCTTACTTATTCATGAAAATAAACTTTTTGAAATTTGGAGAAAAATGTCTTGACAGAAACAAATGTCTTTTTTAAGAGACACATCTGAAAATATTTTTCCTGTGCTCAAACACTGCACCTAAAATGGCAGAATCATGTCAAGGGAATTTCAGAGAAAGACAAGATGATGCAGGATGGAAGCCATATGAACACTACCAGGCTATATATTAATAACCACAGGCATTTAAAAGAGATGTTTGAACATTTTCATGAAACAGTCTCAGATAAATTTCTGCTTCAGTACAATGTGGCAGCGAGAAAAGATATTAAAACACCAGTAACATGTGAGTATTATGTCTTTATAAAAATTGATGATGTTCATATGCAACATATCCAGTTTTCTTCCTAAGTTTGCTGCTAAAACAGGTGTAGTTGTAAATATAGATACATGCTGAAAAATCTCCTCTTAGAGCCCCAAAGAGTGACTATTTATCTTATCAGATGTGTGCCCTGAACACAGGAAACTATCAATGGACCACCTTTGATGGACAATCTCTCATCTTTACAGATTACCTCAAGGTCATGCCAAATGTATGCAGAATTTGCTTCACTTCCCAAAAGACACACTTCATCTACCATGCCCTGACTGGAGGTATTACATCACTTTTTAATTCAAAACCAAATAAAAATACTGCCAACCACACCATGATGTGTATTCATACACCTTTTGGCCAGCTGCCCCTCACATGCGCATCCAGCTCAGTAAACTTTTGGAAATGTTTGTCTTTTGTAACACTCTTCATTGAAACCTGTATAGGAGCCAAGATACAAAACGTAAAACCTGCAAAAACTTCAGCGTGTTAATAAATTCCCCCTTTCCACATTTGCAACAGTTGAGTTACTGCTCTGCAGTAGGGGCGACATGTTCTTCACTACAGGGGCAGACAAGACGCTTCTTTAAGTCCGGTAACAAGAATTCCGTATTCATCTGTAATGGGTGGACCTCCATCATTGCCCCTCAGCATCAGCCAACTATTTTGGGAGCTACCGGTCACCTTTGCTTGCTAGAGGTGGTGAGGCGCCACGCACTGATTGAGTTCTTTTTAAGGCCACAATGCTAATTTATTCTACCTATTCCCTCCCCG